CGGGTACACGGGAAGAACCTTCAAGTCCGAAACCTTTTTAAACTTCCGTAGAGGAAAACAGAAGGTTTTGTAGCAAAATACGAAACCTTTAGAGTCTCGTATTAAACCCCAAGGTTTCGTACCCTGGGTTCTAAACCCTGGGGTTTAATACGAGACTCTAAAGGTTTCGTATTTTGCTACAAAACCTTCTGTTTTCTTCTACGGAAGTTTAAAAAGGTTTCGCACTTGAAGGTTCTTCCCGTGTACCCGAGGGAAGAACCTTTAAAGGTGTCGTAGACCTGAAGAATCGCTCTTTAAGCATTTCGAGGCATCTGAACGCTATTTCAAATCTCCGGAACCTGTTTAGGGGGTTCGGTAAAGAACCCTTTTTTTTAGAGTGTAGCATTCGTGAGAAAATCGATTTCTCAAACATTAAAATGAAAGGTTGCGAACCCACTGAAAATTGAGTGATTCACCATTTTTCACGGGTATGTGAAAAATAATGTCGATCAAAAAAGCGATATTTTATGTGATTATGTTTTTTTTGCTTTTCGTTGTTTTCAGACTAGGGCACTTATCAGCGACCGAGGCAGTTGCTACTTGAGTTGGAATACTTTCTAGAATAATAACTGAATCATTCAACTGTATATTGTGATGTGTTCAAAAAAGACCGAAGAATATTGTTGCATAACGAGTTTTTAGATATCACTGAAAAAAAAATCCAATATGACTTTGTCAGAACGCTCATAAAACGAACCAACAGGTCACCTCTTGATTATCTCTCTCATTCATTCTGCAATTATTTTAGCAATCGAGCATTTCAGCTGTGAATCTACTCGAAAGAACCTGTTCATCAAGAGATTTGCATGAGACCATCAAACGCGATGGGTCAAAATTGAATATTTTTATTCGATATTCTCGTCTTACAACGTTAATTAGCTATATCTGAAATTTTTTATTTTTCCTAGACCGATAGGACAGAGTCTTCATAGTCTAGAGTTAATTCATTTTATACGTGTGTGCCTGTCTGAACCAGATTTTTAAAGCCAAGTCCTCCTTTAATAGAATGACATGTTCTAACATGTCAGCCTCATCCAATATTATCTAGTTGAAAGCAAAAGAGACACTTCATGATTCGCGCGAATCATAAGGGTGTCTAGTGGCTAACTTCCTGGTGTACAATGAAAACATGATTTTCAGCTGGATGTTTTCGTTGTCAGACGGTGCAGTAGTTTTAACTTCTCTTTGAGAGTTGAAGAAACACTGTGGATACATTGTGTGTCATGTTCGATGACATGTATCCCGAGATCGACTGTGAAAAGTCGAATGTTTTGCTGCGATCATCTCACAGCTTTTCGCGTCAAGAAATGGCAAATCCATCGATTCTCACATTGATCGATGTCTAGCTGTTCTGTCTGTTCAAGAACGAAAACCCTAACTGAATGATCAAAAAATTTTGAAGGTGTTTAGGTCGGGCCATGGTGGAATTTATGACAAAAGTCTTACACAATGAGTCTGAAATCGATTTGTTTTTTCTGAGAGAAAAATTTTGTTTCTCAATTGTTGTTTGCTAGGATCATCAATTGAGAAAAGCAGAAAATCTTCAGATGTGTCAATCGACGAAAGAAAACAGTAAAATAGAACTCGATGTCCGTACCTTCCACCTTGGCTTTGAGTGTCAATCCGGTGAAACTACAAGAAAAACAAAGCGATCAGCAATGCTATTTGAAACGAACTATCGCTACCTGTTGTCAAGTTCAATTAGAGGAAATGGTGGTTGAGTTTCTTTTAGTTGAATGAGATGAAGACCACTGCCTTGATTCAGACATGAAACAACCTCGAATTGTCGTGCAGCCGGAAGAAGAATTTCGTCTTCGGTTTCGAATTGTGAATGTCGTCGAATATCTTTACCACTGTCACATTCGATAGTGAAGAGAGTTCTGGTGCCTGTCGAACCCAAAAACTGTTCATTCTCCAATACATGCATTTTCGATGTGCACGAGGTGAATCCCCACCAGATGATCGTTTTGCCGATTGGATAGTCTTTTCGCATATCACGTTTAATTCCACGATAAACGAAGCGATGCGTCGATGGAAGATGAGCGAGTGCAGTGAGCAACAGTTTGAGATAGAGGAACCAAGGCCTGAGTTGCTGCCGTTTCTCGGCACGAAGAGTCGCATTGAAGACAAAATAGAGACATTCTTCTTGCGGTTCCCATTCCATCGAGTAGAGCATGACTGAGGCTGATTCGTCCAGTGAGAGTTTATCAGCTGGAGGATTTTCACATTTCATTTTGGCGATATATGCCATTCGTTTGACATCAGGCACAAGTGAGACCAGTGGCTCAATAGCTTCTTCGAGTGAGACCAGAGGCTTCTTCTCATAGCCTTGAATGGGCAGCAACATGCGACAAGGCTCGCCAGCTAGGTCTGAAGAGCGCTGAGTGTGTTTCGGTTCATTGTCATCGACATATTTTGAGGCCATTTTGGACAATGCAGATAAATCACAGTCGATATTAGAATGAATCCTTGAAGAAAAGAAAGTGTTATTCACCAAATGAACATAACATCTTTTCAAATATTTATTTGAACGTCTCTTGACCGAACTCAATGAAGCGTTAAAAAACGTGGTTTTCAAGGCAAATGTATGTTCTTTTTCATTCAAGAGATAGACTACATCGAGCTTCCTCTGACTTGAACTATTTCTCAAGTCGAACGGGAAATCCGTCTTCGTCTGCTTGTCTGAGTATGTTTTGTTATCTTCAATCTCTGCACTGCTATCGACTACTTCCTTCGGTTCTTTTCTCTCTGCCTCTCATTTTATTCACTTGCATCTGCCTATTGTCTTTTAGAATACTGTCCTCTTCAAGTGTATTCCAATGATCACTTTGTCTCCTTACTTGCTATCAATAGCAAAAGAAAGAATGAGAAGAAAGCTAGTTTGTGTAAGATAGAGAAGTTAAAGAACATCAAAGTCGTTTGAGTGTGGTTCTGTTTGCTGAAGATCGAGAGAGATGCGTTAGTCATTGTCGAGGAGTCAGAAGAATATTTGAAAAAAACAGTTGAAACTTGTCAAAGATCGGTCGAGTAACATCGAAGGAGTAGAACTAACAAAAAAGTTTCATGCGCAATCCGTGTCTTCTTCTGATCGATTTCAAATTTGAGCTTTGATTATTTTAAAATCTCAACTTGTCGGTAGAACATCGCAATCGGTGTGATCTGCGATGACAATAGAGTCAGATCGGAAATCGATGATCAGTCATCGAAGTTACTCGATCCGATGCATCGACATGTAGAAAACTAAACACTGGTTCTTCCAGTTTGAACTTTTCCAGAGCAAATCATCTGTACTGAAATTTGAACCGAGTAGCAATGTTCCCGAGTCGCCCAATTATTCGACTAAACCCCCTCCCGTAATAAAAGACCTTCCTATATTAGAAGACCCCTCCGGAGGAGTCGCTCCATAGCAATTTTGTGTTTTTCCAAGCAAAAGTTGCCAAAAGTTTGCCCGGTCATATTACAATACATATTTGAATATAACTCATTTTTCTGTTCTGTTATTATGAAATATGTTTTCGAAGAAGAACAAGGAGAATTATCAAAAAGCAAATAAAACCTATGCATATGTATGCAAACAACACTTAAAGTGTACTTAGATAATATCATTTGTATTCACTATGCATTGCTACATTTCTAAAGATAAAATTTTGAGAATAAAACAGATATGTGCCTTAATCATTTTCTTTGTGTCAACAAACTCTGTGATATTATTTCGTCGAAATCAAGTCGTTTCGTGTACTGCATCAAATATGCCTGCGAAGCAAAAACGACTTGATTTCGATGAAATAATATGACAGAGTTTGTTGACACAAAGAAAATGATTAAGGCATATGCTCAAAAAAGGATGGTGATTATTCTGGCATATTATTTTGGGTGTTTGCGTCACTTTTTTGGGTGTTAGTGGGTGTTCGTAACGAAAAAGCCCTAAAGAATCCTCTTTGAAACAAATTTTTTCGGTGTTTGTTTATTCACAAAGAACAGGTCTATCGACCGGCTATCTCGGATTTTAATTTGGGGGTGTTAGTGGATGTTAGCGTATTTTAGTAATACCCAAACAGACGGGTGTCAAATAGGGAGTGATTCATCTCGTGAACTTATCTAGGTTTTTAGAAAAAGGGCCATACTTTTGATTCATACACTCTTAGATCGGCAATGAGACAAAAGAACGTAGAGCGTTTTTTTTAATTCTCTTCCATTGCTGAGAAAATCAATTATTGTGGCAAAAAGGCTAAAGAATCCGTCAAAATCCGACCTGTACTCTCCCTCAGCTGTTTTTTTACTCAATTTTTGCCCTGTGGTCCCCCCAAGGATCAAATTTTGAGGAAAAATATTTTTTGATAAAATATATGTTGTTCGATATAGTCTTTTATGCTAATCCGGAATATCATATCTATTTCATACAAAAACCAATTTTTGATAGTCAAATCTCGAAATACGAGTGTAATTATTTAACCTTTTACCACCAATTTCGAAATAATTGATTTTCTCAGCAATGGAATCGAATATACAAAAATCCGTCTACGTACTTTTGAAACTTGCCTCATGGCCGATCTAATGGTGTATGAATCAAAGGTATGGCCTTTTCCTCCAAAAACTAGATAAGTTCACGAGATGAGTCACTCCCTATTTGACACCCGTCTATTTGAGCAATATAACTTTCAGAAGGTCAAATCTATGATAGAAGTCGCTTTTTCCGGTTTCTTGACCCTCTCAGTATTTAGAGTTTTTCTCTATGAAGAAAGGAATTTTAAAGGTTAAAAAGGTGATATTCGCGATCAGCTCAACACAGCGAATCAGAATATGCGTGGAAAGACTAAAAATTTGAGGGTGCTCAAACTTCGAATTTTTCCCACCTTACCGAAGTACCGAGAAGTACGAAGAAGTAGGCCTTCTCCCCCTTGATCATTTTTCTCTCGTGGATCTTTAAAATAGTCTAATCTAACATCTTATTCGAATTTGTGCTGATGAATCGAGCTGACGATGGCGCGAGAAGGGAACTTTTTCGGTTCAGTTCAATTATTTCAAGTTTCTCCTAATTGCTACTTCAATACAGTACCGCTGGCGTTTTTTTTGGAGAAAAAAAATAATGATTAACCCGTTAACTGTGAATTTTTCTTGGAAACTGTACAGTACACTTTTTTTCAAAAACAATTTTCGAGAAGTTCATAAACTTTTCTAGGTCATAAGATAGAAAACGTCTGTGAGGAAAGGTTCATTATTTTCTATGGGCGACAGAAATTTTTTTCCAATGACAAAGTGGAAAAAAATCAATCCTGGAAAAGTATTTTCGAAACACAAAGTTTCGTTCCAAAAATCATCGTGATGTGATACACATGAATCATATTTTGAAGAACTTTTGGAAACACTACAGGGTGTTTCATAACCTTTTTCCAGGGGAGGAACGACGTGATTTTAAAGTAGGTACCTAATGAATTTTATACCAAATGAAAGCTCATCGAAAACGGGATTATCGAGTATAACTGGTAATCCATAGGTTAATTATGAGCTATAGAATTATGGAAGTTTCTATCGGGTGCATCATAATAACTGAGCCTCTTAGTATTTTCTATTTGTCTCGTGTTCCTTTAGGATCCTAAGATTAGTGTTTGTTTTAAAAAGATGCGCCACGAAATATTCTACAAAATCATACCTAAACTTTACTTTTAGAACTTCAATCAAGAAAACTACGTAAATTATATGAAAGTCGGAAAAACTGAAAACTTTGTATTTTTGGTATTTTTTTCGACTTGAACTTTTTTCTTCTACTATCATTTCCGTAAAAAGTGTAACAAAAGTGAGCACTCGGTTGTTTTTGTACTTTTGAACATGCTCTTCCTCGTGGTCTGTAAAAAAAGGTCTTAAAGCAGATGGTGTGCTGGAGAACGATGTTTCAAAACTTTTTCCCCATTTTCAACAATGTGCCCAAGCAAAAGACGGAAAACACGATCGAAGTTTTCATTTTGCAGTTAGGTAGTGAAGAGCAATCATTTCTGATCAAAACAAAACAAACCCGGTGGAAAAAGCTTTTGTTCTAATGAAGTTATGGGGCTTTCAC